AGGTTTAAAATAACCATCGAAGTTACTTTTTTTCTTCTAATCTAAAAACATTAAATTGAATGTATAAATGCATGGCGTCAGCATCGCTCTTAGTTCGCTGTCGAGTAAACTGCGACTGGACATGAATTAAACAGTCTCATCTGTACCATTTACTTTCTATTTACTCTACTCTTTCATTGTTATTTAGAGGTTACCACTGCAAAATGTTTTCTTTTATTTTCATTCGGGTTGTACCGTATGTCCAATCAAGGAAAAAAGTCCTAAAATCAATAATAAACCTTTTCACATGCATTTGTTCAAATTAACTAATTTGTATTTTAGCATATCTGTTTTAGTATTGGTAATCCATCAACAAGTAATTGAATAAATATTACTCACTTACTTACAAGGTTTACTATAGAAAGCGTTTAAATCGTTAACAGCACAATACTCCAGTATACATTTATTTCTTATATTTCATATTATTACACCATGCAAAACTTTTCGGTAGCAAGCTGTTGTCACACAAGATCCATTGTGCTTTTGACCTCTTATAATAAAAGTCTCATAATATTGTTGAGTTTTTATTCAATTGGAAACAGTACTACTACCCACCAAGCTATAACTCTAATACATTATTAGGTAGGGAGGGGGGAATTAGTATTTGGGCAGTAGTTCCACTGTACGTTAATTTACCAAATATTGGTTAATTACCAATATTGGTGAATTAAGATTTTGTTGCTTCTGTGACTATATATTCTGTAACTAGAGGTCGTTGTGGTAGAAAGGACTCATCACTTATTACTTAATGGCTGTAAGCATCTCGGTTCGACTGGGTTCTGAAACATTTAAAGCTTTTAAGCAAACGTAAAACTTATTGGTCTTTTTCCAGTGACATAGACGTATCCAACTTGACTAATTTATAATAAGTAGAAGAGACCTTGGTGAACGAGGGAATCAGCCGTTCTTTTGGTACTTCCTAATGGTAGTAAATATCAGATGAACAGTTAAATCCCACGTTCGTCCACGTAAAAGAACGCTATTTCATACCTTATCTATTATTACCATTAGATATATCGGTTCGCCTAAATTCTCAACAAATATATTCAATGTTTAAGCAAATTTTGAAACTTATTTTAGCATTACAACAGTGATTAAACTTGCAATACTTGTATAGATTTACGACATTTACTAATTCAAAATACAGTAGTAGGCCTACGTTAGGATATAAGTGAACATAGAAATCAACAATTCTCATATTTTTCAGCTGAGTAGCAAATATCAAAAGGTTGAATCCTGCATTTACTCACGTTTGAACTTCTTCCCATTTATAGAAGGTAATTGTAGACTATATCTATATTATGTGTCCACATTTTAAGTGTGTATTACTCTTCTCTGTCTGGCTATCAGTGGATGTAGTAATAAGTGAAACGATGATCATTGCTCCTATCTTGTGTAACAAATGTCTTGCCTTCTGCGATGCAGATAATTAGGATTGTAAATTTCAATTTCATTTACACCTTACCACGAAATCCAGACGACCTTTCAGTCGTAGTAACATGTCTCAGGTTCCTTGTGGCGTATATTTTCGATTCACAGAATAATCATACGAATTGCAGCAGTTAATGACATTCTAGATCAGTTCTACACGAAGACCTTAAAATCACAGAAGATACTATCAATATTCTGCCAACAATGCCCTACGACTACAAAAGTGCATGATCTTTACAACCAGCAAATGGTCAAGAAGTGAACAAAATGATACGGCAGTTATTTCATCAAATTTATTAAGATTACAGTTAAACAAAATATTTATTATATTAGATATTGTTAGTCGAACGGGCATATTCGTTTACTACTTTATCGCTTTAAGCAATAAATCATTAAGAAACGACATACATCAGTGGCGGAAAAGAAGATGGAACGTTTCTCTCTCCATTAACGTGTGTCACAAATAGAAAATGTTAATACGGTTATAGTCCCAGTCGTCGTGTACTCCTGTTGAAAATCGACCAGTTATGACACGCGACGCGTTTGTCCACTCGCTTTAATAAATATATTCCTAATAATTTTGAGACAAGACGAATATGATAAGTAGAACTAAAATGAACGCGGTTAATTTATATATTTAAATTTAAATGCAAATATTAATACGTTGTCCTTGTCTCCAAGGCCCGCAGTGACCGCAATGCAGCGCGTAATGGTCAGTAAACCCGGTCGTCTCTCATTTCGAATATGTACCGAGTTAGTTTTTCTTGGCAAGCGCTATTATGCACATGAGACCAACAGCTTAACATCCAAACGAGATAATTAGGCCAAAGTATATCATAGAACAGGAAACAAGCAAGTACGGCATTGGCAAGTCGCAAAATCGGTCCTTTTGCACAGAAGTCGCTGATCTTATTCAATTGATAAGTTCGTTCAACATAAATCTATGCCAAATATCGACATCGATGGAGTTGTAATGTTTACGGTTATAGCATTTCTGTCTCCGATAAATGCTGTATTACGTTAATGGTAGTATATGCCGTTTAAACGAGAATTTAATTATGGAACCTAATTTTGCAATGTAACCTAAATTTTCGTAACACCGGCGTTCAAATTTTCGATATAATTCTATAGGAATATGTGTTATGGCGGAGTAGATTAGTGCCTTGTTGGTTAAAAGATCTTCGCCTTCCCAATCTCCATGTTAAACCGTCTTGTCCAAATCTTCGATAGAGGATAAATTACATTCCTACAAGTTATGTTGACGTACTAATGAATCTTAAGTATTGGTAGCTAATGGATCTATTTATAATGTTCATTAGTTTTACACAGACACAATTGATTAAGAGATGTATTTATAGAACATCAATAATCGCCAATGATCACATTTTCTTAATGAACTTCTGTCGTTAATTGGTATATAACATATAATGTAATGTGCCTCTGTCTAGCCTCTCAGGTGTAGGCCTACCAAACGTGACTTGAACAAGAAGTGTGGAAATTGATTTTTTTTAAAGAATATTTAAAGAGGGTGGCTCTTACAGCACATTCCGCTTGTTGTTTGTTGCTTAATATCGAATATTAAAAGCACAGTCTACATTATAAGACATTTAAAAAATTGTATTTAGGCCTATATAGACCTACAAATTTAGTACAAAATATGAAAGTACTACAGAATGAAGATATGTTTTGTCTATTAAACATTCATTATTCCTAAATTCCTAAAGGTCTATCTAATAATATGAAATATTTGCTATGGAAATGATTTTAATAAATATTAAGTTTATCTTACAACGTTTAGTCTCTTATACACATCTAGATGTGTATAAGAGACAGTATATATACATATATAAGTTTCATTTTTTTTCTTGGATAAGTGATCCATGATTAAAATAAGTGCTGTCACTGAAAGGGTTAATAATTTAAAGAAAGATTAAATCAAATTAATTCTGTCTTGAAAATACCATGCAGAAATACTTGAATACGAAATGTTTCCATCTAGAACCTAGAGCCAGTTTCAAACGGATTGGATATAAAAGTATTTCGTAATTAGAATGTTATTGTGTCCACCCTTTTCTTCGTATCTACACTGGCCCCTGCCTCACGCGGTATGATTTTCTTACGTTGAATTTATCCGAACAGAATGAATCTGATAACCAGGGCAGAAGTACAGATAAAATCAGCTGGAATGAAGAAAATTATAATTCAAGCGTGCATACACTGTATGTAACATGATGATACAGTAGTGGTTTATCAAAATATTAGAAGAAAAATGTAAGGGACAAAATTCAAGTATGTCGAACTTCTTCAGCTTGTTTGACATGTTATTGCTTTGGACGTATTTTGTCTGCTTAGAATAATACGGTTTGTGGAGTATTCATAACTTCACAAGCAGACGCATTTAAGTCATACGGACGCTGAAACTCACTGTGGCTAAAATAGTTTGACGAAGTTTAGTGATGATGATATTATTGACGATGATGATGATGATGATGATGATGATGATGATGATGATGATGATGAGAAGCTTATTGATAATGATGATAATAATAATTATGATGCAAATGATAATGTTGATGATGCTAATACTTATGTAATGATGGTGATGATAATGATGCTAAAACCTATTCTTTAATAGTCATACAGGCGACATTAAAAGGGTAAAGAATATTGGTTTAAGAAATAAGAATATCTCATTTTAGAAATTAAATTCATATCCTGAGAAATATTGTTTGTCTTGGGACTATACATTGAAACCTAAATAGGCAGTGAATAAAGTGAAAATGATATTCTAGGTTAACATAACTCATCGTCATGCTGAAACCGACACTAGAATCGATTTCACACATATTATCCTACCTGTATATTTATGAGCAGCGCAACCCTTGGTCTTGTTTCGCGTGAGGGAACCTTTTTGAATATATTTCACTTAAGCTTTATATAATTATACCGCCTGTCATAAAACCATACAAAAATGTCAAAAATGCAATTAAAACATTATAAAGTTCTTTTAAACGGATCAAATAAGTTATTAACTCTCTAATAATGACCAGATATTTACGGGTTTGATTTACACACCGTTTGCTACAACATTCCGAAATTTATTACCAACAAATTTAAAGGTCTATGCATGCAAGATTAATAGGAACATTATTTTTTTATACGCAAGAAGCAATTACTTTCAATTACACGATAATATGTTAGTCCCTACTTAAATATTACAGGTCTATGCCTACAAAGCAAGCAATCAAAATAATAATGGGTACGCCTATTTTATAGTAGGTTTAATTTTCAGTATATTTTCTGAAAATTACCATGAAAAGAAGTAGGGCCTAACAAATATTCTTGTCGCATATTATTTTCTATCGACGTTCGTAAATCAAGCTGACAATACGATTTGCACCATTCTATCGGACACGAATCACATGAGTACTACACACAGGCCTAGTTGTGACTGTTTTTTTTCAATACCTAAAATATGCGTTATGATGAGCTGCACACGCAATCATCACAATGCGAAAGTTATAACTTACGTTAATGTAAGAATCCGATAGAAATACAGTAACAAACAGCCAACTTGAAAATATCCTGACACAAATCCTACTTTTTGTGTGCTTATAGTTTTCTTGGAGTCTGTATTCCTTTTGTAGGTAATATCATCTCGAGTATCATCACTAAGGTGAAAGGTTATCCTCGCTTCGTCTGAATAAACATTATGAAATCTAGCCAATCAGATTGCGATTCATGGCAGCAGTGATCGTTCATTAAAGCATTAAAATTAGGCCTATGATTAAAGTGTTTCTAGACTGGCAAATGTGACTGCTCAAATTAAAAAAAAAAACAAAACAAAAACAAAAAACAAAATCCGTCTCACATCAAACGACAACTTTTCTAGCTTGTGTGTAGGAATATCGAATACATAGATGGAAAATCTGCAAGATCGTCAGTCAAGCTTGTTTCATAAATTAGTGATGCATCAATAGCCACAAAGAAAATATTATTTACTTTTAAAGAAATCTAAACACACAAATTAGGTATGCACCCAACGGTAACTTAATAATGTCCCATACGATCGGTTCCCAAAGGGCGTATTGATAAGAATAAAACCAGTACCTGAATATGTTCGAAAGTTCCATACAATTAAATTGAACTAAATAAGTCATTATGAAAATATCGAAAAATATGTAGGTTATAGCAAAAAAAATAGACCGATTACGGAGATCGAGTTCAGTGTCGCGCTAGAGCTACGCGTTTTTGATCTGCTCAAATAACAAAATATTAGCATTATATATGTCTCTTATACACATCTAGATGCTGGTCTAATATGATTATCCTGTCTCTTATACACATCTTATATATATACAACGATCTGAAAGCGATAAAATCTAAACCATCTTGCGGTAATGCTGAAAATATATATTATAAATAAATTTTAAACGTTAACTTAACAAAGTAGGCCAATGAGGCTTTGATGGGAATTCAAATCCGATTAAAGCACCTAATCTTCACACACTCATGCGCACGGTCAGGTTTGCTACGTAGCTTGGAAGATCTAGACATGTACATTTATTGAAGGTTGACTTGCTGAACACAAATTTATGCTGTCTTTATCAACGTTAAATTGATTAAACTTGGAAGATCTAGCATATACATACCGCATAGCATAAAGAGAGTATTAACCAATCAGAACCAAGAAAATATACAATCAGTTGATTGGATCACAAATTAAAAATTCGGTACGTTTTGCGAGATTGCTCCCCTTCAATTAATCATCGAACCCCCAACTTCATATTCGGCCCCATAAGCTCCCCTCCCATTTTCCCTCCATTACAAGAGTCATACGAAAAAACTGGAAACGATACCGAAAAATAGGAACAGGTCTATTTTAGCGCAGCTCATTTTGATCAACAATTGACGCTAAATTTGTCGAAGTAGGCCTATGGCATTGGTCTTAAAACGTAATATCATCACCATCCTACTAATGCTACATTAGATATTCAATTCAACCGCAGTTCTAAATGCTGTTTACGTTAAATTGCACATTGCTAATTTCGTGGAAGAGTTTAAAAAAAAAGTGGAATGATGCTTTAAAAAAAATCATATAATTCCATGTGGCATTAACATAACACGAAGAGACTGAATTCATTCCAACCAACCTGTCTCTCAGAATACAGTATCTCTATTCAGCACGTGAAGTGATCAGTGATGTCACTGGAGTGTTCGATTTCAGAATGTTAACTGATGTGTGGAATTCAGACGCATTGGTGAAACTCAATGATCCAATAACACTCCTTTACTGAATATACTACAATATTTTGTTTTTACATTTTCTGTTGATTAATTCCGGTGATAACACACAGCAGAGGTGACAATAGTGCATTATCCAATCATGAACGATATTCAACAAGAGAACCTTCGGCTTCCGCCCCTGGGGGTAAATGCCAAAACATGTTTCATAGGGCATGCGAGAGATGTGGTGTGGTTAGACTGGGGGTTTAATAATCACAATCTGACATGACCAAGATTGTGTTCCCGAATTAAAACACGTTCAGTGGTCTCTCAACCGAATGTACAGAAATTGCAGACCTACGGTACCTGTGATGCTGAAACGTAAACGCATTTTAGTAACATACAAATGCGCTACTGAGCTAATACCAGAACCACTGTTCTCAAATGAGCATAGATAACGAAATCAGCACTTACGAAAATGAATGGTTTTCTCCAACACAGGCCTATTGTAACTAGTATAATATGACTTAAGCATGTTTAAGAAACAGTATTGCTCATGGACTACACTATGGAGTTTACTTAAGCAATTTAAACAAAATGTCAGTGGACTTAACGTAATTTGCTTATGACTACTGTGAGATGGTATCTGATATTGAGACTATACTACTTTATATAGTTGTATACTCAATTTGAGTAAGGTAATGTTCTTACTGTGTAGTTTTAAATTGGATGGGACGAAGCTACGCTAAAATGTACATTTTCCAAGATTTATAGGAAGTACTAACAATAGTACCTATGGCCATATAAAAAAATTAAAAATAGGAATAATGATAGAAAGAATGTCACGAACTTCAACAGAAATAGAATCCCAAATAGGAAAACATACAAATATTTTTCATTCTTTTCAACGTATCTGACGTTACAATACTGACATAGCACTAATGTTGCATTTGAAAGATCTATAGACACCTCTTCTGAATCTCAAAAATGACTTGTATGCAATGTTAGTTTCGGAATAAAGGAAGAACTCTTGAAACGCCAATAGGAATAAATCCAATGAATAAATATTACTTGAAACGCATAACAAAAGAGAAGTCTGTGAAACTGATCTCGAGCCCGTGATCTGCATACATGACGAGTGTCGTAACCACTTAACCACGGAAACATTTGTTTAAGGAAATCTCCGCTTGTGGGGCGAGGCTGGTTGCTAAATTATTACATGGGAATTTTATTCGCTTGGTGAGTTAACTAGTATCTCAGCATGGAACCACAGGCACTTAATTAACTTCGGTAACTATAAATATTAGTATGAGTCCTGAGTCTGGTTGCGCATTTTAATGAAACTGCTAGCTAAACGTTACATAATAAAGAAATCCTATAACATTAATATACTTAATAATTAACCTATTATATGAATAGTTTATTAATAATAATAATTCCAACGAATGATCAAAGGCGCTGAGCAATATTACCCCTGGTAACTTGATAATATACATTGGCAAACCAGCACAAAGTGCAACATTCTCTGCTCCCTGGGAGTATACCTAGTCGTGCGTTACCTATTTAGCGCACAAAACTAGTACATTCGCCACAGCATCTGCAGGTACCCATTTATACTGCTGGGTAGAGAGAGACAAACGTAGATAAAGTGCCTTGGACACAGGCGACTTGCACAGCCAGAGTTTGGAACCCCTGACTTCAAGGTTCGGAGTCTAAGCCACAGTCTTGGTTTCCTATTTAACTCCTCTGCTGTAATTCTATTCTTGTGAGGTATAAAATTTACAAAAAATAACAATACATTTTAATGCTGATGATGATGATGATAATGATGATGAAGCATTGTAGATGATAATGATGATGCTGATTATGATTGATGATGATGATAATAATGATGATGATGACATGATGACGATGATAACTTCGATGACAACGAAGATAATGATCATAAATATGATGATTATTTACGATGACAATGCCAATGTTAATAATAACGATAGCGACACAGCGACAACAAAAACGATAGATAATGATAATGGTAACTGTCTAATTGATTTCACAAACTAAATTATTACATCATTGACAAAAGGCGTTAATAATATGAATACTCAAATAATATCGAACACGGGAACAAATCTTCTAACAGTGATTGTATTTAACAACCGTTATCCAATTGTTCTAGATCATCATTGACGTCAGACCAATAATCTAATTAGTCCTATTTTAATTGCGTTCATGCCGTATTTCGCATTACCTGGTCTAATATGATTATCTGTATTTGAGTGTTAATGTTGCGGACAGAGACAATTAGCTAGATAAATAATGATCCAAAGCTGAAACAAGGGTCCTGGAGCGGAAGGTGAATAATACTTCAAAGGGGGTGGCATGTAGACGTGTTTCTCTTTCACACTCAATGTGTAAGATACGGTACATCTTTTAGATATTTAATAATAATACAACGCAGCTGCTACAACGTGGGAAGTTATTAGTGATTGAATTTACAAAAAAACCGTGTATTTTGTAAAATACAGGCCTATTTTATTTCCTATCAAGGTATTAAAAGTTAACATGCAACCTGGGATCTGAAATCGTTGGTTTACAAATATAGTATAATAAATGCTACATAAATAGGTAAAGAAATATATAATATATAAAAATTAGCAAATATCACAATTAAATTATAATAAGTAAAAAAAAGTTCATTATCATTATAAAACATACAATACATTTTACATCATGAATTATTGATATAGACATTGCATCATTTAGGGAAATGTTATTAATACTTTTTAACAAAATATGCGTATATATAGGTACATAGATGTAGAAAATATGCTTGAGTGTACCGTATATATTGGGTTTAAATGTAGCTATTTATAATGTAAAGGCTATTACATATAAACGTTTTTAACTGCCACTGGTTTACAGTTTCATTTTCAGTGTACCAGAGCAGCGAATTGCGTAATTTATTTCGTTTATTGAATGCTAACAAAAAAAACTTTATGGAAACGAAATGGACAACGCGCCATCTTCCTATTGGAAACGACATCAGCAATATTTGAATGTTTCAAAATGCTACATAATATTTTTCATTGATATTCCGCTCTCAAAAGCCCCCGTGAGACCGATTAATATCGTTTTAGTACTCATTGTTTAGTAGATGACGATAACTTACAATGTCAGGTTATGCATGTTATTCATATTTATCTCTGATGTTAAATCTGCGTAATAGAAAATTGAATTCATTCAAAAATGCTTTTCTACCCAAGAATATAGGTCTTACGATAATTGACAAAATTCAACCTATCAATCGGCGGTCATCGAGAATATATCATTGTTTATTGTATTGCTTAACCATAGTTAAGATAATAAAATCGGCCTGGGAATAGATCATATTCAATCAGTCACCCGAAATGTAGGCCTACTCTATTGCTTACAGTACGTCATTTGATCGGTCAACCAGAATATTTCAAGAATCGTTTACATCAGAGTACCTGATCAGAGTAC